TTATCATTGTTATTTTCTCTTTGTAAAGTTATTCAAAACATTCTGTAAAAATCCTATGGGACATGATAAGCTTTAGCTTTGTTAAAACGCCCATAATAAAACTTTGACTTTGACTTATGTATTGCAGAACTACTAATCACTGAAAAATGAACTTTTTCGCCTTTCACTTTTGTTTGAAACATGCCCTTTGAGCATGCTTGTTTTGATAAAAAAGCAGATGTTTAGTTTATCAAAATGTTATGGTGAAACCGGTGAATTAAAAAACTAGGAAGCACTGCACAGCCCTTATCATCTGGTCGGACCTAATCGGTAGTGCGAATCCATCGCCTCAATTTAGGACCGAACCCAGGACCTTGAGGGTAGAACACAAGCATACTACCCACTTGATCATCCGGCATCTGGTCGGATTGTTTTTCGCTGGGTCTATGCACGGTATGGTGCAACCCAGCACTACAATTTTATTTCGGGCATCACACCACATTCATCTCAGCACCAACTTTCAGATTTTTAACTAGGTTAGAAAAATTTCCAACGTGACCAATGGCTGCTTGCGAGTAGCACGGTGCTTTTTAGTTACCATTTGTTTTACCCTGAACACCATAGAATTCAGTGAATGGTCCACTCAAATCCTCTACTACTATTATCATATTATTTGAATTTTATTAAATCGGAATCCATACACTCTATATCCACAAATGGGGTTTAATAAAACTGAAAATTCATCCACCATCCATCCACCAATATCACTATTGACTTCATTTAATTTGATTGTGGAGTAAAGGAGCTGGGTCTGGGGGAGCTCTTCTCACTTAGGTCTTTTCCAGTTGGAGGTAATTTTCTGGTAAATTTTATTACTGTCTTACTACACAAGATCTGGGGCGAAGCATTGGTCGTTCCAGTTTTCAAGAAACGATGTCACAACGAATGCGTACATCGCCAAGAGATTAGTTCGAATTCATTCGTCATCAAACTTTAAGTGTCCGCCATACTTTACCACCTACGGCTTTTAAAACCAAATATTCGCGAACAGCTGACTGGTTGCCGATCTGGTCGCGTTTCAATTAATTAAGAACTCACTTTGCGCCAAGTCCTCGAGTTAAGTCCTATGCATCATAGATCAGCAATCACAGGTTTTCTGTTCAAAAGAGATCCCTCATGTGTGCACGCATGCTTCTGGACGAGTATGGGTCTACGGAAAACTAAATTGCTTGTATAAGTCTGGCATGCTCTGTTTTACACCTGTTCAACTTCATAGACGAACTGTTGGAGAATATACTAAGTGGTTTCCGGTGTTTGCGGTCGGGACTCTGGAGAAAAGTGTGGTGATCCGGGCCTATCCTGGGGCGGCGCGTTACGGTTTCAGGACATTGGCGATCAATCAAGTTTGAATGCTTACGTCGATGGCACGTGCTTGGCGTCTGAATACACGTCATTGGTTTATGGTGCCAACCAATCCAATACAGTGCAGACAGAAGCAAGATTATGCAGCAGTACTGCAATCCAATTGGTGGAAGCCCAGATAGCCAATAATCTCCCTTTGTACATATTATTTAATCACCTTCATTTCTTCCAGTAAACGAACTACTTACTGCCAGTCCTGTGGCCTTTTCCTCACGTCTCGTTCTCGTGGGACATTGCGAATCCATGCCATTGTGTTCCAGTGCTTCTGATATCCATTACTGATTAACTTTCCGACCAGCTGGAGCAGAACAGGCCGCTTCAAGTTCCTGAGCACTATTTTCGGTCCAATCGATCCACTGCTAACCTTCTGGCACTCGTTAAGTAACACTTGACAGCCACGGAGAAACCCATAAGGGGTCGCTGAACATACCGAGGGAGTTTGATGGTGTTTGCAAGCAGGTTTGCTGAATAAACTACCAAAGTTTGACTTCTCGTGGGGGAAATCTGTTTTTTCCCAACTTCAAAAAGGGCATGCGTAGTGTTTGTGACAATCACAGGAGATAAGCCTTATTCCTATAGCGTCCAAGCTGTTGGTGCCCGTCATTCTTCGTAGTTTGTACAAGACGCGTGAGGAGCAGGCTGGGTTTCGAGACGGGTCGTTAGTACATCGATCAAATTTTCACCCTCGAACAGCCACTAGAGAATCCTCGTGTTGCAGATTGCGATCCGACGGGATGCCTGAGAAGTTCATCAGACTGTTAAGGTTATACTACTCAGGAACCCGGGCATCATCGCGTTTGCGAGGGAGGTTATTACCAATTTGTGAAACCCCGGAAGGAGACCACCGCTCTCTGATGCTGACGATTTATTGAAGGGCCTGGGAAATTCTCAGATTTCATCATTAGCCAAGTTGCCAAGTGGTTAGGTCATCAACCAGTGATCTGGGTGTCGCGGGTTCAAACCGCTCCACCGCCGCCCGTCTTCCCTATATCTGTATTTTTCCCAGGCAGCCTTTGTATGGTCGAAGCCCCTTCCTGAAAGTTGACTGTACATTTGTATATTCAATAAGTAGAAAAATGAAGTAAAAAGACAAGGACAAGACACCGAAAGAAAGAAATTTGACGTTGGCTTGACGAGTGGATGAACTCAGTGTTGAGGTTTTCGCTTCCCACCGGAGTATGCGATTGTTTTCCACTCTTCCCGCTGCATATCCTGTCGGTAACAATCGAAGCTATCCATTTGAACATGTCAGTCCTCAGAGTTTTGGTTCAACCAGGTTTCTTTTACACGTGAAACAAGTATTGGAATTATTGCGTGTTCACAATATTGGTTAAATCCGAGATCTTTGCGAATTCTGAGCAAATGTTGTTGTTGACCAGTGATGACAGTCATCTTGGCAGGAGGGGGCGCAAATAAGTGCCCCTCCCCAGCTGACCCATTAATGTTTTTGATCCAAACACACGATTTGTGGGGGGCAGGGAATCCAATGGTAGCATGTCCTGAAGAGAATATGTATAGATTCTGGTCGTGCTTTGCTTTGAGATAGTGATAAATGAAACGCGATAAAGTCCAACATGACAACGAGCATGAGTGTATCGCAACCAATCGAAGTAAGCTGCTATCCTGACAAAAATTCCACCAGGCAAGGAGTGATCAAAGTGTTTATGTAACCGAGTAAGAAACACGGTGTAATTAAGGCATTCGTTTTGTATGTAGCGCGAATCGTTCGATTGTCTGTCTATCATCCTTTCCCCTGCTATCATCTGACTGCAAAAATTTCTTATTAGTAGTGGAATGGCGACTAAACGTAATTGTAAATGTTTGTGAATGAGCTAACCGATAACACATTTACTTATACATTGTCTTGCGATTAAAAGTGAAACATTCTTGGCCATTGCTACTTGTGAATAATGTCCTTCGGGTTTCGGTCGAACATTCCTCGGATTACATTTTCACACACAATCCTCAGTTGGTTCAGTCAGCCTTATACTCCAGAATCACCAGATTCCATATTCGCACATATCTCCTGACTAGTATGGGACACCTTGCATGAGGATGTGTGTCCTCAGAATCATCAGATTACATCGGAGTTAACCAAAATCGTTGATTTACATTCTTGTTGATGCTGTCTGCACTAACAATTAACCTGTTCATTTGGTCCGACAGCAACAGATACAGTTGGCTCTCTGTTAACCGATCAAAATCTGCACATCAAACCAGGAGCATGTTGTTGTACAACTCCCCAGTTTTATACGCTAGGCTGGATTTTCAAGCTACAATCTACCGCTAATGTGGAATTGATGGAGTTGTTTTGGTCGCGCTTTTATTTCCAAGCATTTTGACACCTGCATTACCTTCTACTGACAAGATTACACCTGATCAAGGGCACTGTCTGCATCGAGAAATCGTGAAAGCCCTATCGAACCCCCGAACTCACTCCAAATATTAAGTCCTTTATGCGCATATTCCACATATTGAAGCAGTGGATTTCCATACCTTGCTCAGCTGTTGGTTAGTCGTAAGACAATTGTCATCCATTTTAGGAAAAGACTCTTGCATTGCTTTTTCTCATTCACCACAGTAAAGAATTTATTTTCCATTATTTTTTGTTGATCACAATTTATTTAAATATCCACTTCGTAACTTGCGGAAAATTCATCATTTGGGTGCATAAATCGTTTCTTGACTTGACTTGACTACCACACGGTCGAGGTCCATACTAATTTACTCTCACTATAACTAACTTCGAGTGTTTCCCTCAGTGTATGGTTGGCTGGCTAAACTGAGGATTATGCTTGAAGATAATATCTTTAGAGTAGTCAAACAGAATCAGCAACCCTTGTACGCTTAATCTGGGCCGATAATTGGTTTACATGCAATTATTTCCGCTCTCTCTCCCTTACCCACTGTTTCTAGCAATACTATAGTGTCATTGATAACACAACGGAAGCCCTGTCCAGAGATCCAACGAATGTCAAGGCTTTATATCGTCGATCGAAAGCTTACACAGAAACCTGGGATTTGGATTTGGCAGCCAGTGATTTAAAAAAGGTAGCTGCGTTAATGCCTGAGATGACGGAAGCTGCGGAAGCAGAGTTGAAAGCGTTGGAAAATAAACGCGCTGATCAGGAGTTGAAGGAACGGCGTCTGTTGGCCGGGAAACTTTCCATTCAGGGCAATCTATCCGGACTTCCTCCAGCACACGGATAATTCAGCCAGCATGTACGTAGGTCGCCCGTTGTGAAATTCGACACCTCAGTTGGTCTCACGTGATTCAAGCACGTCGTCTTTCAGTCTACCGACAAATGAGCCGGACCCATAGAGTTCTTACAACCGGCTTCTTCAGGCTTTCAAACCAAGTCTTCTAGGGAAGCGAAATGGAACTCGTATTGACCTGTGTCCCTAGTCATCCTTCTATGTATATTTTTTTCTTTCCCTAGAAAATCTTTTATCGTCAGATATTCTAAACATGCTGTTACCTCGGTCATTACACTGCGACAAGTGCCAATATCCGTTAAACAAACATTAATTCACTATTATGTTAAGTGCAGTTTGAATTAATGCTGGCAACATGTGGGCATTAGTTCAATTAAAATCAGACGGTCAGTTCAACCACTGGAGTGGGTGCTGTATTCGTGTATTTCGCCATTTGGTATATTCTTCCGAACGGAGGCTAACCCAAGTCTTGCTATCGACCAATTAAGTTGGTGATACGCTGTTGGGTGTAATTTTATCATACCTTTGGTCATGCATTACCGTGTTCCAATAATACTTCATTACATTTGTATATCACAGTGACCAGTCACTTCGTGTAAGCCATATCAATGGAAAGACTCCCATTTTTGGCAATCGTTCCGAAATCTGAGATAAAATCCGATAGGCGAAACAAGCTGTTTTTCGATAAATTCATCAGCTAGCCATACACATTCATATAGGTAGAACATTTGATATTGCTTGATCCTGTGCGAGGTGGATCTTTTTATTCTACTTATAAAACGATGCTGCGTGCTCAACAATTGGACTGAGCTTCCCCTTGCTTACGACGAGACTGCACCTTGACGTGATGTGATGGCTTGCGCGCCTCAGTGACCCTGCGAGCTACACAGGATGGCTTCTCACAGCCGTAGATCCAATCATGCCTGAAAGGTCAACGGGTAGAGGCCAGACGAAGACCAGTCTCACAAGGCCA